GTGTTGGGGAAGCTGTGTTTTAGTCATGTGGGCACCAGGTACCACCTGTAGAGTAGTTTGCGGGAGAGTTCCACATGGGTCATACAGAGGGTCAATTGTTTGTGGGCTTTAAAGATGTTCTGCCAGTGTTCTTCTGATAGTGGGTGCTTTATGTCTTTTTCCCATGCTGCTTTGAAGGAGAGGGGGTGTCTTGTAGATTTGGTGTGTTCCGAAGCGTAGATCAGGGAGATGAGATTTTTACTTGGTTTAATTTTCAAGCAGATCTTTTCTACTTCCAATAGAGGTGGATCTGGAGAGGTTATTGTAGATTGTCTTGTTTGTAGGGTAAACCAGGCCTGCAGTTGCCTGTAAGAGAAGGTGGCTGTTGTGGGTAATTGAAACTCCGTTTGGAGGTTGGAGAGCTTTTTAAGGTGGGAGTCCGTCATGAGTTGAGACAGGGTTAGTACGCCGTCTCTGTTCCATTTCTTATAATTGAAGTCTGTGATGATTAAACTCAGTGCTTCTAGTGGGAGAGCTGGAGATATGCGTGTCATCATTCCCATTTTTGTACGGTAGTCATCCCAGATAGCCAGGGTAAGTGCAGTCGTCGGTAGTAGTTTCTTGTTGCTTGGCCTCTGGGGTTTCGGTAACCAGGCCATTGTTGGTAGGGAGAGTCCATCTGCATAATTCTTCTCTATTTCAGCCCAGGCCATCGTATCTTTGTGTTGAAACAATGACAACAGGGGGCCTATGTGGGCTGCTCGATAGTACCCCCGCAATTTAGGCATGCCCATCCCACCGTGGGTGAATAGTCGGTACATTGTGGTTCGTGCCACTCTGGGTTTTCCATTCCCCTAGACATAGGTGTTGACTTGTTTTTGTAATTCCATGAGGTATTTCATGGGGAGCATGAGTGGGAGGTACTGGATCTTAGGCAGTATCACCATCTTCACCAAAGTGATTCGTCCTACCCATGAGATGTATTTCCCTGTCCACCCCTGCAAAATGGATCTAATTTTCCCCAAGAGTTTTGTGTAGTTTGCCTTGAATAGAGTGGTGGGTGTGAGTGTGAAGTTGACCCCTAGGAATTTTATATGGTCTTGTCTCTAGTCATAGTGAAAGTTTGTTTTCAGGGTTGGTCATGGCCGGGAACGTTTATGCTCAGGGCTTGTGTTTTCGCAATGTTCAGTTTATAATAGGAGCATCTGCTGTACTGGGATAGTACGTTGCGGAAGTTCGGTAGGGATATATGTGGCTGTTCTAGGGATAGCAGAATGTCATCCACGAATAATGTCATTTTATATTCTTGTCCCTTTATGCGTGTCCCGTGTATGTTTAGATCGTCTCTTAACATTTGAGTCAAAGGTTCTAGTGCCAAAATGTAGAATATTGGGGAGAGTGGGCAGCCTTGCCGGGAACCATCAGAGATAGTGAACGTTTTAGATATAAATCCCCCGTTTGTTACTCGTGCTGTGGGAGAGGAGTATAGCGCGTTGATGAGTACTAGGAATTGAGGCGGGAATTCAAATTTCCAGAGGACCGCAAACATGAAGGGCCAGTGGAGCCTATCAAATGCTTTTTCAGCATCTAGGGAGAGTAGGACACTTGGGGCCCGACCCTCGCGCATTCCATATAGGAGATCTAGTACCTTCCTGGTGCCGTCTGCCCCCTGTCTGCCCCCCATGAACCCCCCCACGAACCCCACCTGGTCTCCGCATATTAATGTGGGGATAATGGATGATAGTCTGTTTACAAAGATTTTTGTGATGAGTTTGACATCAGTATTTAATAGGGAGATTGGTCTCAAGTTTTTGCTTCTGTTAGGGGTTTTCCCTGGTTTTGGTAGGGTGGCAACATGTGCCATTAGCATCTCTGCTGGCATGGTCCCGGAATGGAGTATGTGATCAATTTACATAAGTGGGGAGCTAGGATGTGTGCGAAGTGTTTGTAGTATGAGTTAGTTAGTCCATCAGGGCCAGGGGATTTTCCCTGGGGAAGTGCCTGAATCATGTCTATTATTTCTTGCGTCGATGCCAGGTGTTGTATGGCTTGTTTGTGTGCTGTGGATACTGTGGGCAGTGTCGTTTGTTTCCCTGTCTGTAGGTTGGTGCAGGGAGATGTCAGTGTTCAGGTTGTAGAGGGATTGGTAGTAGTCTGCCATTTCGTCGTTTATGTCTTGTGGGTTATGGATCCTTTCCCCAGTTTTTGCAATCAGGTTTGGGATCTTGGCATTTGCTTGTTTCTGTCAGAGGAGTGTTTCTAGGTGTTTTCCGTCTCTTTTGCCTTGGGTGTACGTTTTCCGTTTTGTCAGAATGTGCACTGTCTTATTGAGGGACAGCGTGTTGATTTGGTTGGCGATGTGAGTTATCGAGTTGGTGAACTTCTCTGACGGTCTCAAGAGGTGTTCGTTTGTCGTTTCTCAAAGTTTTCGTAGAAGATCTGTGTGTTCCCGTTCTTGTTGTCTTTTGAGGAAGGACGCTTGGCTTATCAGGTATCCTGTCATGACAGGTTTGTGAGCTTGCCATAGAGATATGACTGAGATTTCCAGGGAATCGTTGAGCATAAAATATGTTTGCAGGTTGTCCGATAGTTGTGCTGTGAAGGTGGTGTTATGTAGAAGAGTGTCATTAAACTGCTACGGTGGTTTTCCTCTGTGTTGATATTGGTCTTGAATGGTCAACATAATTGGAGCATGGTCTGACCATACTATTCTCCCTGTGGAGCAGTCTGTGATAGTCGGGAGGAGGGTGCCTGAGGTCAAAATGTGGTCAATTCTGGAGTAAGTTTTGTGGACTTGTGAATAGAACGTGTACTCTCTTCCATTTGGGTTGCGCGTTCTCCAGGTATCGTATAGGCCATGTTCATGAATTAGTTTTGTGAATGCTTTGTTTGCGGGATTTAGTTGGGAATGCCTAGCGGAGTCAGCGGGCGCCGTGTAGTCTATGCAGGAGTTCATGGTGTGGTTGAGGTCCCCGCATATGATCGTAGGTGCATTGGTGTTAATCGGCAACTTGGTGAGGACCTTGTGTAAGAAGTTTCTCTATTGGTCATTTGGGCTGTATAGGCACACCAGTAGGAATGGAATGGTTATTTAATATGCAGTGCAGGATCAGAAACCGTCCTTGGCTGTCTTTCTTGATATGGAGCAATTGTATCATCAGGGATTTGTGCAGAAGGATAGAGACCCCTCTTGATTTGGAGGAGTGGGTAGCATGGTATTGTGTGGGGTGATCTTTAAGAGCAAATTAAGGGACTTGGTTAGTTGCAAAGTGTGTTTCTTGAATGCATACAATGTCCGCTTTGGTACTTTGTAGGTCTTTTAGCAGTATTCTCCGTTTGTTCGGCGTGTTTAACCCCTTGGTGTTGTGTGAGTAAAGTTTCATCTCGTGTGGGATGTGTGGGGGTCTAGTTGGGCCAAGTCCGAACGTGTGTGATCAGCTCGTCACCTATGAAGTCGGGTGGTGGTGGTGGGAGAGGGGGGGGTGGTCAGGGAATGAGGGAAGATCCGGATGGAGATCTAAGGTGAGGATCTAAGGTGTTATATACAGTAGACCTTTCTCGGGCTGGCACTCAAGTCGTACCGTGGGGAGTTGGAGTCAAAACTTCCAATTGGGTGGCTTGTTGGGCTCCAATTTGGAGTGCAGTTTGGAGCAGAAACGTTTTTGTGAGCTCGAACAGCAGTCGAGTCTCGAGGCATACATTTCAATACAGTAAACATCAATAGACATGTAACATTTTTAACAGTAGTAATTATGGTGGTGCATTAGAGCAGTTCCATCCCGTATTGTATACCTTTGCTTTTATACAGCAGCGCATCAGCATGTTTGCACGTGGGGGGAAGGGGGGTAGCTACCCTGTCGGCCCCTCCTGACCAACCAGGGGGAGGTTCTGTGTGACCTGGTACCTGCGTCAAGGGCCCTATGTGAGTGTGTTACTCCGGGCTTCATGGTATGGGTCTTTATATATCGTCGGTGGCCTGGTGCCGTTGGCTGTCGCCAGTAGCTGCACGCAGATGATGTTCCAGCATAGCCCTCTTTCACCTGTGTCATCCCCCACTCACTCATGTCACCTGGTCGAGCAATAGGCTCGTTGTATTCCTAGCCTGATATCTAGTGATCTGACTGCCGTTTGTCTGAGTCGCCGGATACCGCTCGGCTCTGATACCCCAATGTTGCCAGTGTGGCCTTGTGTATGCTTAAAATAGTTTGTGTGGTACGGGGTAAATCCAACCCTTAGTGTACGAGTATGAGCTGTCCTTTCCCCTTGGGTCAGTTTGTTGTGGCCCACCCCGCGCGCTACCGTTTGGATGCTGAGCGCTGTGGTCTAGCTGCGGTCCTTAGTGGCGGTAGTGTCTGAAAGTGGGCATACTTGTGCATCATTGCAACAATCAGTTATAACAACAATAAATGGGAACTTAGGGATAACTGGGGTAATATAATACTTGCGGCAGAGTTTCGCCTCATAGCGCTCAGTTCATGTGCTCAGTTCGCATTGATCTTGTGGCCTTGGCAGGAGGGTTTAGGTGAGGTGCTTTGCTTGTTGCGTGGACCCCACTCCGCAAGTTCTTTCATGGCTTCTTACGGTGTAGAGAAGAATTTTGCCTCTCTATTTCTTGTCAGGATGAGCTTTGTGGGAAAGCCCCATTTACAGCGAATTCCCTGGTTCCTCAGCTCCGTCGTGACCTGCTGGAAGTCCCTTCTCTGCCTCAGCATTGCCGCCGATAGGTCCGCCATGATGCGCACTGGTGGGTAGTCCTCGTGTGGATCTTGTCTGTTACGGTGAGCTCGGAGCACGAGTTCTTTAATATGGAAGTAGTGTGCTCGGAACAAGACATCGCAGGGAGCAGAGTCAGGTAAGTGCTTTGGTTTTGCTACTCTATGGACTCTATCGACGAGCAACATGTCCGCGGGTATTTCAGGGGCATAGGCATGCATTAGGCCCCTCACGTATAGTTGCAGGTCATCGGGTGGGACTGACTCTGGAACCCCCTGCAGCCGTAGATTGTTCCTCCGCGCACTGTCTTAATAATCCGCCATGCGGGTTTCCATCTTCTCCACCTTGTGCTTTAAGGCCTGTATGTGGCCTGACATCTCAGTCTGTGCGGCAGATAAGTCTTGACACTGTGCTTCTACTGACGATGTTCTGACCGAGAGGTCTCGGACCTCCTTCTTAATTTGGTCGGCCGTGGATTGCCAGGTCTGTATCAACTTTGCTGACATAGCCTCTATGGCCTGTTCAAAGTGGCCTTTTGTGAGGCAGTCAGTAATTTGTGGCTCGTCCGGTGGTGTGGAGGGAGATCCTGCAACAGATTCTCCGGCGCCATCTTGCATGGCGGCTCGCATGGCGGCTCGCATGGCCTGCACAGCCTCCAACGAGGAGGACGACTTTTGTCCAAAAAAGCTGTGCTTTTCTGCTTTGGGGGCAGATTTCTTTGCCTTGAGACATGTTTAGCGAGATGTTTGAGGGTGTTTCTGCTCAATATTTTCATTAATATTCGGAGCCCATGTGCCGGAGCGAAATCCTAAGCGGCCATCATGCTCGGCAGTTAGCCACGCCCCCCCTACAGGGAACGTTTTTGGTGGGAAGAGGCGAACTGGAAGGCCACGTGGTAACCAAGGTAATGTATCACCTGAACGAGAACGGCTCAGGAAAGAGGGTAATGGGAGTTTTTATAGCATAAGATAGATTCAAACTCCTCCCACAAATACAGGCCTGTGACCTTAAAACATATATATATATATATATATTTATATATATATATATATATATATATATATATATATACGTATATCCATGCCTGTCTACTTTGTCCATTGCATAACTAAGTAACTACCTTTGTTATTTTTACAGCAGTCTCTGAATTCCAGTTTCTCATTAGGAACACTGGAAAAGATGGTGTTCTTATTTCCAGTCTTTGCTGAAATCTTTAAACTAAGTCAAGCTGCATTGTAGTAACATATTGCCCAAATGCCATATCTGTAAATCTGAAATTGTCTGCTTCATTCCTAAAGCTTGAAACAATTGTTTAAAACTCCTTCTTATCCTGAGTTAATACACTGATCAGCCACAACATTAAAACCGCTGACAGGTGAAGTGAAAACAGTGATTAAATCATTACAATGGCACCTATAATGGGATGGGACATATTAGGCAGCAAGTATACAGTCAGTTCTTGAATTTTATGTGATGGAAGCAGATAAAATTGGCAACTTAACAAGGGCCAAATAGTAATGGCTAGACAACTGGGTCAGAGCATTAATTTATCTGTAATCAAATAAGGCCACATTCAATTAGATATACTTAAAAATGTACTTAAAGGACCACTATAGGTACCCAGACCACTTCGGCTCCATGAAGTGGTCTAGATGCCAGGTCCCCCTAGTTTTAACCCTGCAGCTGAAAACATAGTTGCATAGTTGCGCTGCATTAAGGTAAGTGGTTGAAGTTTTTTTTTAACCCCTTCAGCGCCGAGGGAGGGGGGCACTCCGATAGCCTATAGTGCTAGCAAAACGGGTTTCTTTTCCTGGCACTTTAGGATCCCTTTTAAAAAACAACAAAAATGTTAATTTAACCCCTTAAGGACCAAACTTCTGGAATAAAAGGGAATCATGACATGTCACACATGTCATATGTCCTTAAGGCGTTAAAAGTTAACTAACCTTTTAATGCTTTTGTTGTGTCTGCCTTTTGTTGGAAAGCATTTGAATATTTGGTTGTAGTATGGAGGTCTGTAGTTTCAGTTGATCCTCAAGATGAGTGTCATTTGTGATCTTAATGGCTTCTTGATTTGGGTTAGGAAGGAGAGTGTAGAATTGCAGAAATAAGCGGATGAAATGCAAGAAAGCATGTTGCTGAAGGTGTGGGTATTCTACTGCATTTTTCCATTTTTCAACTGGATCTTTCGTGGCACCAAACTATGACTTTAATATGTCATCTTCTGAGAGCTCAATCAATTCCATCTATAGATCTTTAGGTGCCTTGGGGATATTACAAAGGTGATAATTTGAGTGTGATGTCCTGATTCTCAAAGTCAGTTAACTTTTCATTGTATTCTACCATTAATAGTTTTCTGCGTATTATTGTCCCCTTTTCTAGCCCCTCTGTGTGTTATTGTCTCCTTCTCCAGCCCCTCTGTGAGTTTTTGCCCTCTTCTCCAGCTTCGCTGTGTGTAATTATCCCCTACCCCAGCCCCTTTTGTGTGCCTTTCTCCTCTTTTTTCCCCCCTCGCACGTCTGTGGACCACGGTAAAGGAGCTTCTGTTTCCTCTGACAGGAAGCTGTTTGATGCTCTCACCAAGCAGTTCCTGTCAGACTGGGTAGAGATTGTCTTCCACGACGTGGTCCGCTCGGCCACCTGTGCCACCTTATGGTAGTGCTGGCTCCCTTAGTGCACTGTTATCAAAAGCTGATAACACACCAGCGTACTTAACCCCCATAAACTCTAGCCAGCCTCGTGTGGTGGTGGTGTCTGTCAGGCAGGGGAAGTTAGAAGTATATCATAGTAGCCATCTATTTAGCGCTTATAGTTTATGTTCTGGTCAATCTGGCAGGATTATTTTGTTGAAACTTGTTTTATTCTTTGGTATTTTAAATACGTTAATTTTAAACATAAAATAAATGTATAAAAGACGACCAAAAATGTATTAATAAAAATAAAATAATTTGTTCTATAAAATGTGGATTCAATCAACAGGCCACACTTAAAGGGACTCTCCAGTGCCAGGAAAACATGTCCGTTTTCCTGGCACTGCAGGACCCTGCAGTGCCCCTCTCCCTCCCACCCCCCATCCCATGTTGCTGAAGGGGTTAAAATCCATTCAGTGACTTACCTGAATCCAGCGCCGATGTCCCTCGGCGCTGGGTCAGGGTATGTCCACGCACCTCCCCCGCTGACGTCAGCCGGCAGGGGAGACCTAAAGCACATTTGTTTTTCCTCTCTGCACCTCTGCTTTATATGTGCAGATACCAGCACCAGTAACAGGTTGCTTGATGATCATGCCATGAGGTATTACGTACTCTAGCAATTCATGTTCAGTCAGGCTTCCTGCATTTATATGTCTTAGACAGAGAATGTAAACTCAGAGACCTCCAAGTGCCACAAAATGGCAAAAGTGCCTTAGGTTTGCTGTCACTGGCAAAAGATATGTTATGTTATTATTTGGAATTTATTATATGCACAGCCCATGCCAAAGAATAGTAATGTGATTAAAAGCCTGGCTTACACTTACTGAGCAGTAAAAAAAGATCAAGACCTGGAACTGTTCGCATGAGAATAAACCATGACTTAATGCAGTTTGCTTAACACACATTTCTTGTACAAAATTTGATGTTACAAAGGAGCATACATTTTTTTAACATTACAATGCAGTTCTAAACAGATTTGTGAGTGGTTACCCCCACCCTTATTTATCATGCATTTTATTTTACATGCAAAAAAAAAAGCTTTTCCTATTGCATACAGTGTATCTGATTAGCACAATCTCTCTTGCAGCATAAAAAGATCAATAATATGATTAATGTACTGCAACACTATTCCCTTTGGGCAATACCAGGAAGAGACTGCAGCAGCTCTCCTTCCTGGGATTATTTTTCATGAACACATCTGGCGTTGGTTGAGCTTTAGCAAAGAATCCATTATATATTATACTGTTAAATAGTTTGTAAATTAACACTCTCCCTCCCAAGTCTGCTATATACTGTACTAAATCACACAGCATATACAGTAGTACAAGAGTCCCTAATATCCCTTCCAGCTCCTTCTGGCAAACACTGAGGGCACACTTAGCACTCTTTCCAGCCCACCATTTGACCGTGGGCGGGGACTACAACGCCGCGGTGTCCCCCTCGGTAGACAGACGCTGGACACATTCAAGCACACGCCGCCAACCTCCCTACAGCTAAAGCTGATAAGATGCTCTCCACGTTCGTCTCCCGAACACACCTGCTAGACGCCTTGAGAGCCCAACACCCATCAGATCTAGATTATACTTCTTCTCACATCCTCACTAATCACACTCCAGCATTGACTTCTTCCTGGTCTCCCCTGCTCTGGCACCCATGGTCAAAAACATGACTATTGTCTCCATTACATGGTCTGACCACGCGGAAATAACACTCATGATCACGCTACCCTATACAATCCGACCCTGGTCTTGGAGACTGAACCCAACACTCTTACACAACCCACAAATACGGGAAACCACCTCTGAAATGCTGTCCGAATACGCTGATTCCGTGGACTCCAAAAAACAGCAGATTACCCAACTAGAAAACACACTACAAATTTTACGAACCCTCGAGACAAAAATTAAACTTAATCCCACCACGGACCTAAATGCGCAGGTATCCAAATGCCAAATGGAGATCAAAGAATACATGGCCAAGGATTCAATTAAGGCCTTCCAATGGACAAAACAATTATATTACGATAAATCAAACAAAGCTGACACACTGTTGGCATGCAAACTATGACAAAAAACAGCACAGAAATGAATAAACAACATAGCAACCTCTGAAGGAACCTTAACAGACAACCCAGACAGAATTGCAGAGGCATCAGCAATTAATTGCTGATCTTTACGATCATGACCCTCAAACGCGGCTCCAACCTACTGCACACAAAACACTAACTGACCACTATCTAGATCAAGTCTCCCTGCCCTCCCTCCCCCAGGAAGCAGCACAGAAACTAATAGACCCGATCACACCTGCAGAAGTAGCTAATACTACTTTTAGAATTTTGAGAAAAACAAAAACAAAAAAAGACAACAAATTTACAATATTGCTAAAAATCAATAGTAAATTCACCCTCTGCCATACTGCAGCTGCACTTAAACATGTCAAGGCAACTTGTGATCGTCTTTTTTTTTTTCAATCTAAACAGTGACTCCTTTGGATCTCTGCTAAAGCTTACCTCTGGAGGATATTTTAGGCCAAGACTTATTCTCTATCCTTATAACATTTTAATGTATTCTAGACATCACAATGAATAGAGAATTATAGAAAATTGTGAATATATTTTCAGTAGTCTGGCAAAGAGATGAGCTTGGTAGTCACCTCGTCATTAATGAACTAGGGCTGGGGTGGCCAAAAGGTCTATTGCGATCTACCAGTCAACCTATAAATGATCAATGGGAGATCGCCATCCCTACAGTTATCTCACAATAAGAGGATGAATAAGTCATTCAATTTGAAATTCACTTTCCAATATTTGAAAAAAACCCACAGTGCAGCAGAGCAATCAAGCAAGAGGAATAAAGCTTCACCCCCAAAGCTTTGTCATACGACACAATTTTCACCTACCGCTAAGTCACCTCATTTTCACTTTCCATCTTACTGCTCCTTGGTTGTGATTA